CCATGCTGAAGAAGTTGCCGCATCAGAAGAACAGTGTTCTGTTTGTCCGTCTATTCCAACAGTGGCGTAGCAATTGGAAATGTGTGAGAGGATACTATTAATGACAAACCGTTTCTGTATTTCGTGTATTTATTATAAATGAAGTGTTAACCCTCCCAAACCGTAACCAGTACCAGAGTTACTTTTTGTTTTTTTGTTTTTGGTCATTATGACTATAGTATTTAATTTTAAAATGTCCCTGTGTCAAGGTTATTGTGCATTTCTTTATTTATTGCAACAATCGGCAAAAGTGAACTTTTCACTAGAGTTATATCCCTATGAATATGTTTTTCCTAACTATTTCCATTGCAAATTTGATTAAAAAATTATAATTTGCTGTTTTCTTACTTGAAATCACAAAAAGATAGGAAGAAACTTCACAGGGGAGCATGTACAGCAGGAGTCAACCAATCGTCAGTAGAAGTAATCTCTCGTCGACAAATGTTTCGGCCCACGAGCTCCTAGACATATCCATAGAGTGGGCCCAATTGAGTTCATGAGGCTCAGGGTTGGTTTCTCCTGCTGATCGTATTACCGGATGTTATCGGACAGGGACAAGACGAATTGGTGACTTTGCGAAAGATACGAAGTCGTTGCGGTAGCATTAGGAATAAACTCACAGGGAGCAAGTACAGCAGGGATCTACCAGTCATCAGTAGAAGTTATCCTCGTCGACAAGTGTTTCGGCCCACGATTCTCCTAGACACTTTCGGAGGTGGGCCCACCTGAGTTCATGAAGCTCAGGGCTGGTACCCTGCTGCAAGAATTACCGGATGGTGTTTTTCTTTCGGATAGGGACTTGGTGATTTGCAGAGGTTACTGTGAGATTAGAAGTCGTTGCGGCAGCCTAATTAGAACAGTCAGCATGCCTGGACGATTGAGCGACAAGCTTACGTTTGGTTTACCGGACACATGTTGGACTTTTGTTAGCAGGTGGCAGAGGAACACTGACAGACAATTCGGACACGATGGACTTTCAAAGGGTGAGAAACCCTTTTCCACAAGAAACCCGGACCAGCTCACCGAGGCCCGTCCCCTACGTTGTTGCGTTGCGTCCAAAGCCAGCTCGAGGCCCTTTCGGCTACCTCGCCCAGTTTTTTAAGTGTTCGTTTCTGCTCATTACCGCGCAATCCTAGTTCTTTAATCACATTGTACAGTGAAGTGGAGACGAGACCTCGCGCTCCCACTTCGACGGCAAAGACACGTACCGTGTACGCCTCGTTTCTCCTCAGACCGGCTGCTAAATCACTGTATTTCTCGAGCTTATACATGTGATTTTCGTCCAAACGCGACTCATACGGGACAGTCAGCTCAATCAGGATGAGCTGCCGTTTTTGCGCAGAGTGGAGAACTATGTCAGGTCGCAGGCCGGTCTTCCGGATCTTCCGGTAGCATAATTATAGCAGTCAGCTTACCTGGACGACCAAGTGGTAAGCTTACGTTTGGTTTACTGGAAACATGTTGGACTTTGTTGGCAGGTGGCAGAGGGACACTGGCAGACAATTCGGACACGATGGACTTTAAGGGATACACATTCTTTTCCACTAGACACCCGGACCAGCTCACCGAGGCACGTTTCGTTGTGTCCAGAGCCAGCTCGAGGCCCTCTCAGCAACCTCACCCAGTTGTTTTAGTGCTCGTTTGCGTTCATTCCCTCGTAAGCCTAGTTGTTTAATCACATTGTACATTGAAGTATAAACGAGACTTCTTGCGCCTACCTCGAGGGCGAAGATTCTTACTATGTACTCTTCGGCTCACATCAGACCAGTGGATAAGTCACTGTATTTCTCGAGCTTATACATATGGCTTTCGTCCATTCGCGACTCATACAGCACGGTCAGCTCAATCAGGATGAGCTGACGTTTCTCCGCAGAGTGTAGGACTATGTCGGGTCGCAGGCCAGTCTTCCGGATTAACTCAGGGTACTTTTCATGTCCAGGCAGGTCAACAGCCAGTAACCAGTCCCTCGAACAATCAAGCATCGATGGAGCGTATGCGACTTTGTTGAATTTACCTTTATAAATCTGCCCAGCCTTAAGAAAGGGCACGGGAATGACGGTAGGACAGGCCCTCATCCTAGCTTTGGTCCACAACGGCCGCTAACTCTTTCAGGACCTTGTTGTGGCGCCAAGTATACCTGCCTTGACCTAGGACTTTTCTGCACGTGGACAGTACGTGCTCGAGCGTCTGTTTAGCTCTGCACAGCGGGCATGTCGAGTCATTAGCCCCACTCCACTTTACCATGTTGACACCGAACGGTAATACATCGTAGGCAGATCGAACGATAAAGCTCAGCGCAGCCATTCGCCAGATCTTACCCCATGTGAGTACTCGTGGCAAAGCGCTATCTAGGCTGATCCACTGGCCTTACTGCGACTGTTGGGCTGCTTTCTGGACCCGAACGTCGTTTCCTGTGTCCCTGATCTGCTGTATCACAATGTCTCGGCGCTCTTTGGCTGTGGCTTTGTGACTTTTCCGTGGCCTAGGCCTGGACGGTCGGTTTGAGTGTAACCCATGACTTCTCTTAATTTTAGTGCATTCTGGGCAGCTTCGATCGCATCTAGGACCTTTCACTTCAGGCCTGTCTTTAGAGCGGGCTGGACAGCGGTCACATTTGGGTCTCAGGACTCACGCAAGAGCATGGCGAGTCTTACTTTGCCAACTTTAAACTCTTCGGTTATTGATTTGAACGGGAGTACCAGCTTAGCCTGTTTACAATACAGAGCCACACCAGTCAGACAAGGCGGTGCTCCCAAACACTTCCTCATGGCTGTGTTGATTTTACGTTCCATCGTCTCCACTGCAGTCATCGTCACTTCGTAGACGAGCAGCGGCCAGAGGAGCTTTGGAATCAACATAAATTGGAGACACCAGACCTTGAACTTTCCGATCAGCCAGCTGCGCTCGATCGCGAGCAGGCCTCTAACCAGTGACTCGTGTATTCGCTGGACCTCCGCTCTGTCAGCAGATAACGTCGAATCGTAAACACGACCAAGGTTCTTCGTCGGTTCTTCTAGAACCGTGGGGATCCGATTCCTTGCCACCGTAAAACTGATCGCCGCCACCCCACTATTTAGGATTGACAGACTCCTCGACTTCTGCGGTTTGAATTGCCTACCGCTCCATTGGACCACCTCATCCAATCTTTTTAAAATCGTTCGAGCAGATTCCTCACTTCCCGTGATTATAGTCGTGTCATCCATAAATGCACGTAGTGGCGGCATCCAGTGGTCCCCAATCTGAAGGCCCTGTCCGTAGCCCGCCGCCACGTCTAACATGACCTGCATGACCATAACGAACAGTATTGGCGAGATCGTACACCCCATAGCTATCCCAATCTGCAGCTCAGTCCATCTCGTAGTAAACGTCAGGGTAGAGAAGCGCAAAGCAAACTTACAGAAATATTGCCATATGTGTCTGAGAAATACATTTGTCTCCCAAACTGTTTTCGTTGTGTCTTTGTTAAATGAGTAACGACGCTATCTGCCCACTAGGATATTGGGCTTCTACAGAGCACCCCCATCAGTTGGCAGGTGGATCAACGTGTCTTCAGAAGTGACTCCCGGACCGAAAATGTTGATGTATCAGTCTCCAGGTAACGGATTTTGTTTGGATGTGTTTTTTTCTAATTACGACAGGACGATTACACAGATATGAGACAAACTGACATGTTGACATACAGAAGACAAACCCATAGACAATTGTACTGAATTACATAAAGACTGAATAACTTAAACATTCAAGACACGCAGATAGATAGATAGATAGATAGATAGATAGATAGATAGATAGATAGATAGATAGATAGATAGATAGATAGATAGATAGATAGATAGATAGATAGATAGATAGATAGATAGATAGATAGATAGATAGATAGATAGATAGATAGATAGATAGATAGATAGATTAGATAGATAGATAGATAGATAGATAGATAGATAGATAGATAGATAGATAGACTACAGTCAGAAGGCTTACTTTATCTCCCCTTAGTCGGCAACAGCTGTTTCCTGGTCCGGTGTAGACAGTACCCCAGCAGCATGTATGGTTTCTGTGGAGAGCCCCAGATGCTGGAAGGATCCCTGACCATTGTCCTGCCCGGGAGGCTAGTCCCCGACAGACACCACCATCACCGGCACCCGTGGGCGAGAACATACAATATATCAAAGGTATGATTCAATCAGTCGTGTGCCGCCTTCACTATCAAGGTTGGCTACAACACCCCTGCATGCCTAGTCTTTCTTCATGGTTGAACACACACTCGGCTGTTCGTCCATCTCTTGGTGCAAAGTTTTCAACTTGATCGCTGGCTGCTTATTGCTCTCTTGCCTGCAAATTCCCCCTTCACTAATGCACTTATAATAATGTTATGGCTGTTAGGCGGATGGAAAAAATCTTTTTTAGTTTGTTTAAATAGCCTTGGCTGCCTGGTCAAGTGGGTACCAGGTATAGTTTCAGGAAGTACAAGCGGCCGACATGATGTTGACCCAGCTGTTATGCAAGTATAAGTGTAGTGTTTTCTGTAAAACAAGTCTCATTGTAATTAGGGACACGAGCTTTGGTCAGGGAGTCGGTTCTAACTCTTTAAAGGGGGCGACAAAATTTGAAGGTTTACGCCATTTGGGTCAGCTAGACACCCCTCCCTCCTCCCTCCAACCAGCTAATTCAGACAAGCATAATGGACATTGCCCCAGACTGCTCTGTCTTCTTCTTCTTCTTTTTCCTAATGTTCACCGGCTGTAAACTCCGGGCGAAGGTTCTGGTCATTCGTCCACGTCTGGACTTCATAATCTTTTACCAGAATTTGGGTGTTGCGTGCACATCCGTTTTACAGATCTAGCTTGTTTTGTGTTCAGACTGTTGCTTTCTTTCATGTCAAGCAGATTTTTTCCGACTTCTAAAGAAACCTCTAATTAGTCGACTTTTACGACATGCTTGTTGGGGAAACAGACGATTCATTCATTTCTCCGACTCCTCATAATGGGGCCCCGGAACCCCCACGAGGTGGGGGGGGGGTGGGTGGGTGGGTTGCAGACTGCACAGAAAAGAAGACTGCAGTTATGATCACAAATAGTCAATAGGTGCATAGGTACAGGACCTGGGGTTTTCAGGCATCTCCAGGCCCCCCCCCCCCCGACCCCAATTATTTTTAGTAGGGAAGGGTGGATGTCAGGAGTCAGCCAAGATCCCAGTTATTATCAGGGGTGCTAAGCACCCACTGACTGGAAAATTTGCTAGGGGAACAAGGGGTCGTGCATAGGCGTTTTGTTGTTGTTGAGGTATGCATTTATGCATTTTATATTATTTTAAGGAGGGTCACCGGGGTGTAGCGGCTAGACGCTCGCCTGCGGATCGGAAGGTCGTGGGTTCAAGTCCTGTCGGAGCCTGACAATGAAAAAAAAATTGACATTGGCTTTCAGGTAGACCCAGACGTGAGCAGGTACCAGGTGCAGTCCTGGGAAGTAAAGGCGGTCGCGTGATGCTGATCACATCATCCACCAGAAGCCAATGGTCTATAAAATATAGTTTCATATCTATATCCCCAATACGCCTGGAGGCGTGGGAAACGGGCCCTTTAATTATATTAATTTAATAATATTATTATATTTATCAGCCCTTAAGCACTTACTAATTGTAAATAATAATAATAATAATAATAATAATAATAATAATAATAATAATAATAATAATAATGGAAACAAAGCTAACAAACTTGAGCCTCCCTACCTAAAAATTTATAAGCGGGCTGAATGCCACCCCCCCCCCTCCCCCACCTCAATATTTCTTGTGGCCGGAGTGCCGAACTAAGTGTGCAAACCACAGTGAAAAGTTATCAGACCAAACAAGAAATAACAGAACTAACCACAATCATGAGCGACGAATGAGTGTTGCTGTTAGAAAGCCGTCATCATTATATCACATAAACGAATAGGATACAACTACAGACAACAATGCACAAGGGTACTTAGCTCTAAGTTGAGGTTTCGGTCAAACAAACGTTAGTCTTCCAACATAAAGTAGGTCACGTTCCATTGATAACTTTCTTGGACTGGTCTAACCTGCTAGACGTTATAGGTGTGCCGCTCTGTTGTTTGCTTTATGGGATTTCTTGCATTTACTTTTTTATTCCGATAAAGAGAATGCGTATGACATAGATTTCATCACCCTCTAAAGGGGTTTTGTGTGAGATCCAGTCTGTTGATGTTTTTGTAGTGTTAAATGCTGAAATATAGAAGACGCAATATCAACTGCATTGGGGAACACTCCCGTCACCTTGTGCCAAGTCGGGTGGCTCAAGGTCGACCAATCAGAAGTGAGCTAGGCTGAAGGTCGACTAATCGGAACTGAGCTAGTGTGTAATGGGCGGTCGGTGGGTTGACCAATTTTACTATTACCGAGGGTTCTTCCAAAAATATCTATAACAAGCCTGGATATTTGACACCCCGAGTATCGTATCGCTACCAAAACAGTACATCTATCCAAATTATGATCATTGAAATAGGCGCATCACTACAGTTTTGGCTAGACAGGTCGTTTTCATATACACCGGTAAAATCGGAGGTGGTAACACAGACAGTATCGGATGACAGTTTTCACACAGTGCCCGGTCCGGCAAACCATTTGATTACATTGCATCGAGTGCCGTCTTCGTCACCAGTTCCGGTTTTGCGTATGAAAACGGCCATAGGGTCACATAGTGTCCCTCCCAAAAATACCGTTATGAAATGGAATGTGTCAGTAGAACTGAGTGGTTCTAGTCAGGTGTAAACTGTAGTGTATCCGACATGAAGAGCTAAACTGGTCTGCTAGTTGATTCACAAATCAACTGTTAAATAATTACCAGACAGGACAGCAGCACTCATGTAAATGACCTGGTTGGGCTTTACAGTAGTAAACTGTGCTTTCAGTTAAATGTTTGCACTTTACAACAATAAAGTATGTTTTCAATTAAAAATTTTGCTTCAAGAAAAACCTCCGTGTTTTCAATGAGCTGGTTGTACTTTGTGACAATAAATACTGTCTTCAACGAAATGATCATACTTTACGACAATAAACTATTTTATCAATAAAATTATTGTACTTTCTAACACTGAAGTATGTTCTAAATGTAATTTTTGTACTTTACGACATTCGACTTTTTTCCCGGGGACAAATTATTGTACTTCTTAAATGAACATATTGTGCTTTATAGGAATCTAAGTTTTAAATGCACTGATTTCCCCGCATGGGTTTCGGGACCCGAATTTTAGTAAGATAACATTTAGACTCACTGCCCTCACTCTAACAAAAAAAATGTTGCATAGTGCCACTATTTAAGGTTTGCTGACATCAGATGTGTTGGGTCGAAAGGAGCAGATATCGCAGCCTTGCTATAAATTACAACAAAAGTGGCAACCAGTCGTTCAGGAGCGAACAAAGAAGAAGAAGAAGGAGGCGGAGGAGGAAGAATAGGAGAATGAAAAGGAGAATAATAAATAATAATAGTAATAATAATAATAATAAACTTAATAATAATAGTAATAATTATTCCTGGGGTAGGAGCCTGTCCTACTACTAGGCGCCTCCACCAGGTGGCGAATGGTGGAAAGGCCTCTAGATATAGAGGTTAGCCACGAATATATTGAATAAGTGGCCGTGGACCAAAACAGGTTATGGTCATTGAGAGGAGGCGAGTTAGTTGGTGGGACAGCTAACTCTATAAAATACCTCAAAACTCTACGACATGGCCATCGGCGGGTAAGAGGCGCCATAACCTCCTCCTCCCCATCCTCCTCCCACCCTGCTGCCTTGCAGGGTAAGTCTCTTTAGACAAAGGCTATTGGAGTCAAACCATATACAAACCGGCGGAAGGCAAGGGGAAACCATCGCTGTATTATCCCTAGTCAATCATGCCTTAAAATATTACGATTACAGATGACGACGTGAATGGGGATTCAAGTGGAATCACCTCGTCTGGTAGGGAGCATCATGTTATACAGGTGATACCCGACCGTCATCCAGCTACTGTAGAAAAAGTAAATGGTAGAAACATCCTGAACATTGGTACGTGGAATCTAAGAACACTTGTACAAAAAGGAAAGCTAAAAAAACATCAAGATGGAAATGAAGAGAATGAACGTCAACATATTCGGAATTTGTTAAATGCGATGGCCAGGAGCAGGGGAAAAGTATTCAGATCAGCACAGAATTATTTACGCAGGTGGGAAGGAGTATAGCAAGAGAGTTGGTATTATTTTGGATCCAAAGAACTCAAAAACTGTGAAAGGATTTTGGACAATATCAGATAGAGTACTATTAGTAAAACTTGGCGGCAGACCGTTTGACATCAACTTAGTACAGATTTATACCCCAACAGAAGATAGTTCAGAGGAGGATATTGACGCATTTTATGACGAGTTAGACATAGCTGTTGATCAATGCAAAATTTGTGAAGTAACAATTGTACTTGGAGATTTCAACGCGAAAATAGGAAGTGAAAAAGTGTACGGAATAAAGGGTGGCTATGGCCTAGGAGAAAAGAATGTGAGTTGTGACAGATTAATAGTATGAGCTGAGTCGCACAGCATGATAATAGGTAACACCTGGTTTAAACACATCCATGAAGATTGTGGACTTGGAAAAGTCCTGGTGATAATGTCCGCAATCAGATTGATTATATTTTGATTTCAAGAAGATTCCGGAGCAGCTTAGTTGTAGCAAAAACTAGACCAGGAGCATAGCAAAAACTAGACCAGGAGCAGACTGCTTTAGTGACCATGTTCCAGTTGTAGGAAAAATTATAATAAAACAAAAGAACATTAGAAAAACACCACAGAACAGCAAGTTAAATTTAGGAATTGTTAGAAAGCAATAACAATATTAAGGAACAGTACAATGTCCCTGTACAAAACCAGTATAATGCAATGGAAACTATACAGACTATTGATGAACAGTGGGATATGTTACGTGAATCAATTCAGCAGACATCAAAAAAGACAATCCCACCAACCCATGGAGTTGCAAAAAAGTAATGGATGTCAACCGATATTCTGCAGATGATAGATGAAAAAAGGAAGAAAAAGAATGATAAAGAGGAATACTCTAGAATACAAAAAGAAATAATGAACAAATGCAAAGTGGCTAAAGAAGCCTGGCTGAATAAAATGTGTACAGAGATTGTGGAAAATCACAGGAAAGACTCACATTCCATGTACCAACAGATAAATATGTTAACAGGAAAGATGACACGTAACAGCACTGGATGTTTAAAATCAAATGATTGTGACTTTTTATTGGGACATAGTAATATAATTAGCAGATGGACAGAGAATATAGGGTAATTGTATGATGATAATAGACCAGATGTAAAACTGCAGACCAACAATGATGGTCCACCAATAATGACTGCAGAAGTTGAGGATGCAATACATCATATGAAGAAAGGAAAAGCACCCGGGCCAGACAACATCTCACTGGAAGAAATCGAAGTACTGGGAGATTTCAGAATTGAAATAATAACTAAACTTTTAAATGATTTTCATAATAGTGGGTATATTCCAAATGACTTTTTAAAATCCATATTTATAGCTCTGCCAAAGAAACCAGGCACTATAAAATGTGAAGAATATTGCAAAATAAGTCTTATGAGTCACATGACTAAGATTTTACGGAGAATAATAATGAGAAGAATAAGAAACAAAATAAACCAGAAATCAGCGATGAACAATGTGGATTTGTAGAAGGAAAAAGGGCAAACAATGCCATATACATTCTAAGGACATTGTCAGAAAGAGCTATTGAAGTAAAGACTGATTTGTACTTATGCTTCACAGACTATACAAAAGCATTTGACTGTGTGAAGCATAAAGAAGTAATCAAACTGTTAGAAAAATTATTATTGAATGTAATGGAAAGATATGGAGTAAGCGAAAACCTCATCGAAGTGTGCAAAAGTTTATACAGGGATTGTAGAAGTGTAGTTAGAATAAATCAGGGAACATCTCATCCATTCACAGTAACATCTGGAGTAAGACAGGGTGTGTCTTATCACCACTGCTGTTTATCACCTACATCGACAGTAAATGCAAGAATGCCAAGCCTATGAATGAAAATGTTAGTAAGATCAACGAATCACTCTTTGCAGATGACCAGGCCTTGATAGCAGATACAGCCATGAAATTGCAACAACATCTAACATCCTAACATCATGAATGAACAATGTAAAACAAATAATATGAGAATCAACACTGAAAAGACAGAAGTAATGTCAATAGGAAAAAAGAAGACAGATCTAAACATAGCAATAGAGAACAAAGGCATTAAACAGGCGTCTGAGTTTAAATATCTGGGCACTACATTTACCGAAGATGGGAAATTGGATAAAGAAATTCACATTAGATGCAGTAAAGCAAACCAAGTATTGGGACAACTAGCCCCCCCTCTTACAGCATAAGTCAATCCCAATCAGCACAAAGAGACATCTTATTCAAAGCATATTTTTTTCCAACTCTGTGCTACCAGTGCCAGACATGGTCACTCACAACAAACCATTAAAGAAAATTAGTAACCATGGAAATGAGATGTCTGAGAAGGGCTGTAGGAGTGACCATAAGAGATAAGATCAGGAATGAGATCATAAGAGAAAAAGTCGGCACAGAACCAATTCTAAATTACATACAAAGACAGCAAGTGAAAAGGTTTGCTCACTTAGAGAGAATGCCATGTGACACCATACCACACAAAGCATATTTGGAAAGAGAAGAAGGTCGTAGAGCAAGAGGTAGACCAAGAACAAGATGGAAGGATAACATCAGAGAAGCTCTACAACAGCACGATGTGCCTATGGTCGAGGCGGCCAGAAGAGCCAGAAACAGAACATTATATCTCCCTCGAAACCCACAGCGGTAAAAGAGGAAGTGAAGAAGAAGAAGAAGAAGAAGAAAAATTAAACATTCATGGGAAAGACCTACGAATAATAAAGAATATGTATTGGCAGCAAACAGCAGCTATAAGAATTAACAACTGTTTATGTACATTTCAAAGCATAACGAGGGGCATACGACAAGGTTGTATACTATCTATCACTTGATTTGTTTTCAATATACAGTGAATATATAATGAGATCTTTAATTGATATGCCCGGAATTGTAGTTGGTGGGTACAATATAAACAATTTACTTTATGCTGATAACACAGTCTTGATAGCAACAAGTCAGAAAGAACTACAGGAAATAATAGACATTGTGGCGTTAGAAAGTGGAAATATGGGCCTCAGTTTGAACAATGGGCCTCAGTTTGAACAATGGGAAGACAGAAGTGATGGTGGTATCAAAGAAACAAATTATTCCTAAATGTGTAATAAACGTCGATGGTGTTATTTTGGGACAAGTACAGAAATTTAAGTATCTGGGCACATGAATAACATCAGATGGAAGATGCATAACTGAGATAAGAAACAGAATAGAACAGGCAAAAACTGCATTTTATAAAATGAAGAATATCTTGTGCAATATATCATAGTCATTAAGAGTTAAAAAAAAAAGAATTCTTGCTTGCTACATACATCAAGTTTTAATATATGGCTGTGAATCCTGGTCAATCGGTAGGCAGGCCAAACAGAGATGTGGTTTTACAGAAGCATGCTTAGAATACCTTGGACAGCCAAAAGAGCAGCTAAGAGGTTTTGAAAGAGGCGGGAGCCCGAAGACAACTTATCACAGACATCAGAAGGAGACAATCCTAATTTTTCGGCCATGTTATGAGAAGAATGAAAATAGAACATGTTGTGACCACTGGAAAGATCTGTGGAAGGAGAGATAGAGGAAGACAACGAGAGAAGATTCTTGACAGTCTTGTTGCATTGCATGGAGGTGTGTCGGCACACGAACTGATACATGCTGCAGGAGATCGTGGATTATGGCGAGGCATGATCGCCCACGCCAGTCGGCAAGGCACCCGATGAATATTAATAAGAATAATAAATTAACGTTTCAAAAGTTAAGTCTGTTTACAATTCACAACAACAAAAAATATTTTTAATGAAAAATTGCAACTGACAACACGGAACCATGTTTTCAATGAATTATTTTGGCCTTGTTTCAGGCACCCTGGGAACTTAGTGAGGATTACTGTGAGAAAGTGGTCAAGAATGACCTCAGGTTTAGTCGTGGTCGTATTCTGATGGACCTTATAGACCTTGCCGTCTTTGATTTTCTTACAGGTGAGTATGATTTCTTCTCAGTCGAGTGATTTTTGTGTGCTTTCTCTGAGGTGCTCTTCAACAGCTCACTGTTAAAGATGGCACCACTAGGTCAGGCTTTATAACAAATCTGGCTGTTTAGTGAAGTGGCATCATTGCTGAGTAGTTAAGATTCTTGCTTGAAACGGCAAACGGATAACCTCTTGATTCCACATCAGATCTTTTAACGTGTATCGCCTACGTTTGCAGTTGTTCTGGCTGCATTCTAACGAGATGACCAAACAATTTGATCTTCTGTTCATTCATGAATTTGGTGCATGTTATTGTTTTCACAGTTTGTCCGATAATTCATTTCTCACTTTGCCTCAGATGATTAAGTTGGCGGCTCTCCTCAGGCATCTCATTTCACAGGTGGTAATTTTACGTAGGTTAGCTTTTGAAATATTTTGCATCAGAAGCGCAGTATTGGTAGATTATACTGTTTATAATCTGTTTCTTGACAGTCATGCTTATGTTTGGATGTCTTGATAACGGCGTCAGTTGGTAAGAGTCAGTGGTCTTTTATCTTTGCTACATGCCCCTCCCCCCCCCCCCCCCCTGCTAGTATATGGCAATAACCCCACGACCCCTTGAATATACTACTTTTTATTTATAATTAATTTTTTTTTAAATGTCAGTATAACGGATTATTACAAGTACAAATGAAAGCATTTTCAAGAATTGAAATTGTAAAGGTTCACTGGGTCGTTGTTTCTGTTTCATAATCTGTTCTTCCGTCTTCCGTGATTATACTTCTTAGATAATTAAACTATTTCAGTTGCTTTAAACAAATACAATTCAACCCTATATGTAGCCAACTAATAAGAATTATACTAGCCTGCATTACATAAATACAATGCATGAACGAACCAGTAAAGGCACACTGAGTTGCTTTTGGGAATGAGTTATAATAGGAATGATTTACTGTTCTCTGCAGGCAACATGAATCGATCTCATTACGAGAGATTTCTGGACCTTGACGAAGACACGTTCGTGTTTCACGTAGACAACGCTGGAGGGTAAGGTCAGCAGTGACGTTTGAATGATCTATGTTGTTTGTAGGCGTATATATTTGTGTGCGTTCGTGTGTGTGTATGTGGGCTCCAGGGCTCTAGGGCTACAGGTTCGATGGCTGCCGGCTGCCTGCAGGCAGCTCCAGAGTTGCAGGCTCCAGAGTCCAGGCAGGGTGGAGGCTCCATTCAGCCTAAAAAGTACATATTCTACCACTTATGCCATCATATGATTAAGTGATGCGTTCGTTTTTAAACTGCAATAGTTAATTAAGGTCAATAAAACTTTTAGTAATGTCCACAGCAAAAGCTAGATCATTGGGCACGTCTTCTCTTTCATACCATCTGTGATTTAACCTTTAATCTCCAAAAACATAATTATTTTTTTTTGTTTCAACAAATAACATCTTTTTTTTTCTCTCGCAATTTGTGATTAGATAATCAGCGGACTTGTGTAGAATGGAAAACATCATAAACTGATTATCCATATCTTACAGCAACTGGCTAGATTGACGGTGGCTGAGAGCATGGCCTCCGATATAGTTTACCGTCTGTGTGGCCAAGATATGCACATTATCCAATTAAAAAATCTCTGAACACAAAATATGCTCATGAAAAAGTACAAATAATGCTTCTGGATGCGAGTTTCAAAATTTTCTTCATAACATGGCAGCGACACCATTATGTCTGCCAGCCATGTTCGCAGGTCCGTCGGTAAACAAGCTTGCATGTTTACTCAAATTAGTAGCAATTCTTGTGTTGCAGATGAAACAATGTTTCTTTGCATTTATCATTATCTTGCAGCAAGTCCTTCGCAGAACCTCGCTCTCATTACGGTCTGCCTGAAAAATAACTCGGCCTCTCGTCTGCTCTCCCGCCTCATGTACTTTCATATCAAAGGAGTCATATCCTGTGCCCATCTTTTGTTGGTCAGCTCCTGCCCATCCTTCCTGGTACCATGCCTTTTGCTATTATTTCTTCCAATCTGGCATGGCGCTTGACATGACCAAAATATTTCAGCTTCCGAGACAGGATGCTGTTTATTAGCCAATCTTCCTTAATGTTCACATCTTTTAGAATGTCAGTATTTCTCCTCTTCTTTGTCCATGATATTCTGATAATCTTTCTATAGTATTTCAGGTTAAAAACCCCTATTTTCTTTCTTAAGGACTGGGAGATAGTCCACGACTAACATCCATTTTTTTGCTACAGGAAAGATGCATGCTCTCAATAAGGTAATATTGATTTCCTTGCTTGTGCTTAACTATAGACTATAAATGCTGTTTAATTTATGTACAGCTATGGCCATCTTCCTTTTGATATCTGTCAAAAGTTTGGGATATTTTCAATTCTTCACCATTTATTGTTATTTTTAGATAGATATTTTAGATATATATTTTAGATGGATAACAACCCTATAACCTAATTTACTCTTTTCTACCCAGGTTTTCAAAAGCCAACTACGACTGCAACTCCTGTCTGGCGCCATTAAAACAGTGCTGTCTGATAAGGCAGTCCACGATGGTTAAACTCATCAAACTCTACCGGGGTCCAGACAGTCTCAGCGGTCTGCTGAGAACCTCCTTGAACTCTGACCCTGTGGCACCAGTTTTGCTTAAAAACCATCTGGATGCCGTTGACAGACGTTTGGGGAAAGTTTTGAAAACTGTTAGTGATTGTATCAGTAACAAGGGATCTTGGGATAATGTTGTTATTGATGACGAGTTCTAGATAAATTGTCTCTCGCTCTCCTTCCCTGTCTGTTTGTATGTCTGTCTCTGTGTATGTGTGTGTGTGTCTGTGTCTGTATGCATGTATGTGTGTGAGTGCGTGCGTGCCTGTATATATGTATGTACGTACGTTCGTACGTGCGTGTGTATATGCATATATGTATGTGCGTATGCATGTTTGTATGTATATATGTATGTACGTATGTGCATGTGAATGATGAGTAAATGAGTGTGTTCATAAGTGGGTGTGTGTATGTGTGCGTGTGCATTTTACCATCCATGCTTTTGTCTGTTTTCCTTCATATTCATATTATGCATATTGTTACATGAACATAACATACTTAAAAAAAAATATAATTGCTGTGTGAAAGTTGGGTTTTTGGTAGAGCTGAAAATAGGCTAAACTAGCCTTTAACTATAAAAACAAAGACGACTGGCTTTCAAACCAGACCAAAATAGCCTTTAACTGTAATAACAAAGATGATTGGCTTTCAAACCAGGCTAAACTAGCCTTTAACAGTAATCACAAAGATGATTAGTTTTAACATAGGCCAAAATAGCCTATACCCTAATAATATAACTGTGGACGACCTGCAGCACTTTGAAGGACACCTCAAGTGTTACAGTTGTTTACGGCCTGATCATCACCCATCATCCATGGCGCATCCATTTGTCTAGACCAGTGGTCGGCAAATACTTTAGTCGATAGAGCCAAAAATCAGCACCAGGAGGCTAAAAAAAGTTTTGAGAACCAAATTTATTTTCAAAAACCTATCCAGAACCATGTTGAATCGATCTGTCGTCGACTGGCTGAGCCGCACTCAGGTCGCTAAAGAGCCGCATGTGGCTCGCGAGCTGGGATTTGACAACCACTGGTTTATACCAACATGAGTCTAACCATGTTACGCCCGATACATCATGTGCGTGAAAGCGTCCATTACTTTACATTGCATTAAGGCAGAAAATTAAAACTACCACAAAACAACATCTGTAATTCTAATATCAAACCAGTTTACCAAGAGGCGAAGAAAATACGCTGACATTAGATAGGACACAAGTTGAGAAAACCTGATAATAATATAACTAGAATGTTTTTTGCACTGAACCCACAGGGGCATAGAAATGAAGGCAGAACAAAAAAAAAAAAAAAAAAGAAGGAAACACACATGAAGAAGGGAGCTAGACTGAGGTTAAACAGAAAGGAAGGACATGGGAAAAGTTGCATGCGATAGCGAATAATACAACTACTTGGTGTGAGTTGGCTAAAGGCCTATGCTTCAATGAGGGATAAAGAGACAGAGTAAGAAGAATGAATTATATATGATGTGTATGATAATGTAATGTCCGACTGGTACACACTTAAAAAAAAAGGGATAAAGTACCACAGCAGGGATTGCAATATAATTTCTCTTTATTGAACAACACTTATAAGGCAGCATGACTGAAAAAACGTACTTGAGCAACTTTCAAACGCCGCAGCATGTTATCTCCTTCCTCTTCTTCTTGTGCCTTCCATCCCCGAATGGAACCTAGGCCCTCAACTAACTCACGCCAAGTAGCTCTATCATTTGTTTTGCGTGCAGCTCGTCCCATGTCCTCCCCATATTTTCAAATTTACTTTCTAGTTCCCTTCTCCATGTTTTTTTTCTCTAGCTTTTGATTGTTCTTGTTTGTGTTTATTTCTATCCACTGTGGATTACAGTGCAAAGACAGTCTAGTTATCTTGTTCTTGGGTTTTCTCAACGTGTTTGCTATCCAATGCCATTCTAAATAGCCAAAACACTTGATTTGGGGTTTTTTCAATGAATCTAGTACATTGTGTCGTTCACACAATTTAACAGTGTCATTATTCTCTCTATCTCGGATAGTTAGGGTGGCGCCTTCTCGCAGGTGGTGATTTTGTTCACATGATAATGCCCATGTCTGGCACTGGTAGCTCAATGTTGAGCGATGTTAAACATTGTTGAGTGATGCTGAGCAATGTTGAACGACAACAGTATAAATAATAAAATAAGATCACACAAATGGTGTGAGGTGAAACGAGGAAGGAGATATACTGGAACATTGCTTCCTTTCGTTACCAACCCTCCTATTTTTTCTTTTAAACTTTTCCAAGTATCAGTTCGATACAATGTATACCTTTAAATGTGAATACTTGCAGGCGAGTCACATCATATAAAGACAGTTTCTTCATGAAATGTCTTTCTTTTTGTTTGAAGCCTTTTTACTGCCTGTACATTTCAAATATTAGAGCCGTGTGAATAAAATACGGTGCCGTCTCCACAATGAAGGTTGGCAATAGTGTGCCACTGTTGTCTTAGGGAAACACTGTGTGATGAGGTCCTAGTCTTGTCAACGGCCTGACTCTCGTAACGCTGTCCGAAAACCACAGGGTTATACTTTTGCTTCTTTTGTGCACCTAGGATAGTGAACCATGGTACATAAGAACGATGGGTATGAAGAATGAATGGGTACAGTTCTAGAGACCTAACAGGCATAACGTAATTACGTCACTCGGACGACAAAAAGAAGCAGTAGAAGTTTTGTTTAGAATTTTATCAAGTTTTTTTAAACATTTACTTTTATGTTTGTTTCGTTTTACACAATAATAAGAAATCCACAGGGGAGCATGTACAAAAGAAGTCTATCAATCTTCAGTAGAAGATCCCTCGTCAACAATTGTTTCGGCCCATAACCTCCTATACTACTTCAGAGTGTAAGCCATCCTGGGTAGTGTTGCCACTTCGGATGTTTTATATCCAGATCTAAATGTTTTCTTTTGCATTTATATGGTGTTTTTGATGTCTAGATGGTAGATGTAATTCTAGATGTTTTTTTTTAAAATTTATAGTTAGATATTTTATAGATTCTCTTTTCTTTCCATGTCAGTTTAATAATTACTGTATGAAATATTTATTAAATATATATACATATAAAAAGAAAAAATATAAGAAAAGATCTGTTAGAAAAGGATAGTACATCAGAGATATGGTGTTGAACTGCCGATTTTGATTATATTGCGACAGCTGACTTTACTTCCCTTGCTTTTTCCATACATATAGTTTAGACTGAGCTAAGCTGTAGGGTCACCTACGCAATAAAATCTGCTATGATGCAGATTCGAACCTAATAATTAGCACTCGCAGAGGCCGAAGGAAAAAAATCCATATACAAGGGGAAACAAGTCGACACAAGGGGGACACAATGGAACACATAGGGACACGTGGGGGGGGGGGGGGGGGAGACACACAGCGACACACGTGGACACAAGGAGACCCATGTGGACACAAGTGGACACACGTTTACACAAGGGGACACACGTGGACATAACGGGACCCAAGTGGACACAACCAAAGGAAAAATAATCCATATACAAGAGGAAACAAGTCGACGCAAGGGGACCCACGTGGACATAAGGGAACCCACGTAGACACAAGGGAACACACGTGGACACAAGGGGACAGACGTGGACACAAGGGGACACGTGGGCACAAGGGGACACACGTGGGCACAAGGGGGCCGACGTGGACACTATATTTTATAGATTTTTTGGCTCTGCCATTGTCAGTTTAATAAGTACTGGTTAATGTGGTCTGGGCATGTACATTGTAGTAACTGCGATTACTTAAAATGTGAACTTACTGGGATCAACGCTCAACAATCTGGCAGCCCCGGTACTGATTAAGAGCGCGCGTAAATCATACTGTCTTTGTTTGAACTGTATCCTCACTGTGCTGTGAAGTATAGCTGGGATGCTGACTTTGTGGCTCTTTTTTTTTTTTAATTGCTCACCTTCATTTGTGTCTTCCACTTTGGAAAACATTTCAACATGCCAAAAGTAAAGCAGTGTGAGCAAATATTTTGGAATGAGTGGCTGCAAGATGAGAAAATCAAAGACTAGGTGATGGCAGTTCATGGAGATACGACTATGGTTTGTCGTAAGTACTGCAAGTGTGAAATTAAAGCGAAAATACAAGACTTAAAGAGTAATGCAGAGACTAAGAAGCACAAAACTGCAGTACCATTCAAAGATATTACACCGCTGACATCTGTCTGCAGAACTAAACCGATTAAAGATAAACAAAAGCTGAAGGATCTGTCGCTTTGTTTTTTTAAGTTGTCATTGTTCAATTTCGAACTGTGACCATTTGATTGATTTGTTAAAAAACACTATTTCTGAAAGTAAAGTTATTGATGACGTAAAAAATGTATCGCAGCAAGTGTACACATATTATAAGAACTACTTTATTTTCTTACTTTGAACAAGATTTGATCAGTGATATTTCTACAAAGAAATATAGTTTATTATTAGATAAATCAAATGACATTTATGTACTTAAAGTGCTTGGTGTATGTATTATATATTAAATCAACAGTAAAGACAAAGTAGTTTCTACATATCTTGGACTAGTTTAAATATAAAAGGGTGATGCAGAAAGTATAGTTCAAGAACTAAAGAAACTTTTGATCAGCAAACAATTAGACTCGAAGAATTTAGCTGCAATTGGTACCGATAATGCCTCGGTGATGATTAATATCAACAATGTCGTTTATGCCAAACTGAAGGAAGATATCCCATCTTTAATCCTTATAAATGTATGTGTCATTCCTTGCAGCTAGCATTATCACATGCTTCATTTGAATGTTTACCATGAAATTTGGAATACCTTTTGGCTAAAACACATAACTGGTTTCCCAAACCATCTGTCAGACAACAGCAATACAATAACTTATATAAAGACCTGAGACGGAATTTCATATAAATTTATATAATTCTTTTGAATAACAGAAGAAAGCCAACCGAAACTGTGTCGAAATTTAAACTGTAGCAGTTCTGTATAATAAGAATAACAATAGTTACAATATAAATCACAATACACGCTAAACAATATGAGTATAAGAAAGCCAACAGATAATCATAATAATACATTTATCATTGCGGGATTTAAAGAGTTGTCCACGCATGTTTTAAGTTAACAAAAAACATGTACATACTGACTA